CGACGGCGGATTGGGTTATTACATATGATATACGTAAATACAATCCTGGGGCGGAGGTGGTGTGTCTCGGCTATATTGGTTCTGTGTGAGTTGAATGGTGTTTGTTAATGCCATTGAGTCACACCAATACATGATTTAATATCCAAGAGGTTAAAGTTCAAATGGACAAACAAATCACTGTAAATGTCACAGAAGAACGTTTACCATGCTTGAATTCCAATATGGTGAGTGTCTTTGCCTTGACAGTTTAAGAAATGACAAATAAATATCGTGCATTGAAACGCAAACACATAGCAACGGTGTAAATATTACCTCCATACAGCGACGAGGGGTTAGTTTATTACATCTGTTTACAGACCGGAATAGAAGTGTCTGAAAGTACTGGCGTGACGCAGTTCAATTTCTTCAAGGTACTGGGTCGTGAACGAAGTAAGTTTGTGGTGTCGGTGAATATGTCGTTATGCTAAACTAATCACAAACAAAAGCCGAAGCCACTTACCTCGAAGACCTGAAGAATATGTTGTTATGATTCTAAACCTAAGCGGCGAATTCGTTAATAAAAGTGTGTTTTGACGCCGACTAACTGGTACAGGTACTTAAACCGTTAACGCATGCGCAGTAAATGTAAAGGTTCAATGAATACCAAGGTGTAGTTACACTTAGTTGTTTTGTTTTGAATTGTAGTGAACCCCGGTAAACCAGGCTGCGTTTAACTCGCCGCTACAATGATATTGAGTTGCGCAAGAAAATCGAAATAACGAAAAATCTAAAATAACGAAATATCTAACGAAATCTAAAATAACGAAATATCTAAATCCTCTCCTAAATCCAAGTGTCTAAGGTACGAAGTTATTTCGAGGACAAAACTTCAATTCTATTTTGGAACCAAAGAAATTAGTTTGTAACAATCATAATTGTCCCTGTGGAATACGGATTGCTGGTTAAGTAAAGTTGTAAAATAAATATAAAAAAATATTATAAAATCACCTATACTTAAAGGGCGATCGCGTGTTCGAACTTCATGTAAACAAATAATGTTGTTTACACACTTTGTGTACGTCGCTGAGAACAGGAGGCGGTGCGACGACCACCGCTATTTAACAATATAAAACGACCCGAGTAAAGCAAGGAACAAGTAAGCAACTAACCATCGCGCTCCTAAGTACCTACCCGGCCCCGTTGCCAGGCATTCAGAGCGTTCTGTACAATGACCCTATTAAATCTCAAATGTGTATTGTAATATAAAACTTATATTACACCATGTACCAGCGACGTTTCAGTAATAATAATAAT